TCTCTCGCACAGGAGACATGTTCTGAACCTCCCCCCCCCGCCCCGCCCCAGCGGTAAGATACACATCACATAAAATGTACTGTTTCGGGGCGTCTGGCTGGCTGTCGGCAGAGCATGCGACTCTTGCTCTCAGGGTCATGAATTCAAGCCCCACATTGGGGGTAAGGTTTACTTAAAAGAAATTTACTGTTTTAATCTTTATTTATTCATTTGAGAGACGGAGAGAGTATGAGCAGGGAGAGGGGCAGAGGGGGAGGGAGAAGCAGGCTCCCCACTGAGCAGGGAGCCTTACTGACTCAGGGCTCCATCCCAGGACTCTGGGATCATGACCTGAGCTGAGGGCAGATGCTTAACTGCCTGAGTCACCTAGACGCCCCTGTTTTAATCTTTTCAAGGGCACAGTTTGGTGGCATTAAGTACATTGTCGTGTGGCCCTCATTGCCATCCATCTCCAGATCTTTGTCATCGTCCCAAACCGAAACTCCGTCCCCACTAAACGCTAACTCTCCACCCGCTTCTTCCCCCAGCTGCTGGTAGGGACCATCCTACTTTCTGTCTCTGAATTTGCCTAGTGTAGGAACCTCATATAAATAGAATCACACGAGATTTGTCCTTTTGCATTTGGCTTATTTCACTTAGTGTAATGTCTTCGAGGTCCATCCGTGTGGTAGCAGGTGTCAGGGTTTCTTTCCTTTCTGAGGCTGAATAATATTCCATTATATGTAAATACCACATTTTGTTTATCTGTTCATCCATCGATGGACATTTGAGTTGCTTCTGCCATCCGGCTACTGTGAATAACTATGAGGAACATGGGTATGGAAGTATCTGGTCGAGTTCAGTGCCTTTGGGTATCTCCTGAAGGTAGGGTTGTGGCACTTGTGTGACAATTATCATGTAGCCCTTTGTGAGGTCCCATGAGGGCAGGGCATCCCTGTTTAGGTCACTCATACCTGTATCCCTAGCACTAAGCACAGTGCCCCACACTGCATAAATATTGTTAAATGAGTGCGTGAAAGTTTCCAGTCTTAGTGAGTGGGACATAACGTAGTGTCCTGGCAAACGAAAGTCTGGGCTCATCTTAGCTCCTGAAGAACAGATCTGGGGATCCCCCAAGGATGGACAAAGCCTCCAAGAGTATTGATTTTACTCAATTATTCTGGGGAATAATAATAACAACAACACTTACTGAAAGCTCACTCTGGGGGTGCCTGGGTGGCTAAGGCTGTGAAGCATTTCCCTTTGGTTCAGGTCATGATCCTGGGGTCCTGGGATCGAGCCGTGCATCGGGCTGCCTGATCACTGGGGAGCTTGCTTCTCCCTCTTCCTCTGCTGCTGCCCCTGCTTGTGCTCTCTCTGTGTCTGGCTCTCTCTCTGTCAAATAAATAAATAAATAAAATCTTAAAAAAAAAAAAAGAAAGAAAGCTCAATCTGTGCCAGGACTTGTGCCAACCACGTCGCCTCCATTATCTCTTTCAATCTTCAAAATAATGCTATGCGGTTCCACTCTTATCCTGTTTTACCAGTGAGGAAACCCAGGCGTGGAAGGGCTCACAACCTGCCCAAAGCCTATGGTCAGGAAATGGCGGAAGGGGAATTTTTAGCCAAAACTTTCTGATTGCAAAACTCACACCCGAAAATTCTCCACTGCTGGGGCAGAAAAGTGTTGCTTTTTACATTAAAGCAAAATGGGAGCTCTTAATGGAGTAAAATTCAAAGTTTGAATGTCTTTTAAAGATAAAGTACACAGGATACCAAAGCCTATTTCCTGCCTGCCTCAGTGCTCTGTGCCATGGATCTCTGAGGACCCTGGGGAAGGAGGTTGAGGGTTCCACCCTGGGTGAAGCCCATGAGGACCTCCTAAGGGGCTCCTGCAGTTCCTATGCATCTTCTGGAAGATGTGACTGTGGAACAAGGGAGTGATCTACGTTGCACGCTTTGTATGGTAGCACCAATGGGAATTCGTGTGTCTCATGTGGGGCTGAATGGGACGCAGACCCGGCAGCTAGATGCCACTTTCCCCCTTGCAGAACCCCTAGCACCAGCCCAGCGGGGCCATCTGCAGACCTCAGCCCCGCCCAGTCCAGCCCCTCCTGGCTTGGCCACAGTCTGGGTCCAGCCTCACCCTGAGCCTGGGAGGAGGGGAGTGTGAAGGAAGGCCCCTCTGTGAGTATGTTCCTTGGGAGGGGACAGGGGAGGGGACGAGAAGGGAGGGGAGAGGATGCTCAGCCACTTTCCTCCTGGAGTGTGTGTGGGGGGCAAATGCAAACACATGAGGATACAGGACGGTGGCTGCTAAAACAGAACAGTGATTAAGGCCACTACTCAGTCTGTTGTTTGGAAATCCGGAGCTCGTTTTCCCACAGAAACAAAGCCCAAGTGGAGGTTGGCTCCCCGCCTGGCCCACAGGAACCAGATTCAGCTAATACCAACACAGCCTCAGAAGACCCTTCACACTCTCTGCTCTCCACCATTGTGTGTGACCAGCAGGGGCTCTGGTGGGGGGGGCGCTCTGGTAGGAGTTTGGAGACCACAGGCTCTGCCAAGGGCTCTGGTGGCCGTGGGAACTGGGGTGCGGTGGAGGGCACTTCTTACACCAGCGACACTGCTGGGAAGCAGGGTGTGTGTGTGTGTTTAGATTTCTAAGCACAGGATGTACCTAAACCATGGAATGTGGAGCTGGTGTCCCGGACTGGGTGGCCTTGGGCAGCTCCCGCGTGGCCTTGTGCCTCAGTTTCTTCATCTGGAAATGATAGCAGTAGAAGGTTTGGACTAGATGGGTGGTTTTCTAATATTTTTTTCTTTTCTTTTTTTTTTAAGATTTTATTTATTTATTTGAGAGAGAGAGAATGAGAGATAGCACGAGAGGGAAGAGGGTCAGAGGGAGAAGCAGACTCCCTGCCGAGCTGGGAGCCCGATGTGGGACTCGATCCTGGGACTCCAGGATCATGACCTGAGCCGGAGGCAGTCGCTTAACCAACTGAGCCACCCAGGCGCCCATATTTTTTTCTTTTAAACACTTTCTCTTTCTGCAAGCAGTCTGGATGAAGCCTGTACCATCTGTTCTGATTAAAGTGTCAGCAGGGGCAGTGAAGGGCTGGCCCCCCCAGCTTGCTCCTTCTGCTCTGCCAGCCTGCCCTGCCTCAGTGTACCTCCTTGGAGCTTGGGATCTTCTTGGAGCATCTCTCACACACGCCGTCCCTCCCGCTCTAGCATTACCCCAGAGTCACAGAGGAAGTGCAGGGCTGCCGAGAACACTCCAGACCGGGGATAACGCTGAAAGCTGGAGTCCGGCCCAGACAGCCCCTTGCTAGCTGTGCAGCCCAGATGAGCCCGGCTCTGAGCTATAAAGCGGTGGACGCTGGGATTTGGTGTTACGATGCACAAGGTTCCGTGAGCTCTGGAAGCTGGGCATCACTCTGCAAGTAGCCGGGATTGCTGTGGCTGCAGGCTTGGCTAGGCGGGCCTGAATTCCAACCAGGGGCCCCCTCTGTCTAGCTTACGTTCCCGTTCCGTGACATGCCAGGGCCCTGCAAAGTCAGGGACGCGAGGGTTCTTTGCAAAGGGAGCGTGTGGGGTAGGAAGTGCCTAGCTGGGGGCGGGTGAGCTGAGACGGAGCGGAGGATTCGGCGGTGGGAGGGGCTCTGTGAAAGGTAGGAGGCTTCTGCAGGTGAGGGAACCCTAGCAAGCCCCCATCTGCCCACGTGTGTGATGTGTGTGATGGTGACAGGAGCAGCCATCCCCATTCTGGTGAGCTGGGGGCCCTGGCTGCCAAGGAAACCGTTTGGAAAACATAAAGCTCCAGGAGCGAGGAGGCCCCACCCGGAAAAACAACATCCTGGCTGCTGGGGCAAAGGCAGAGCTCTGAGGAGGGGCTATTTTTAGCAGCCAAGGCAGGGCCAGACTTGTATGGCCTTGCTGTCTGGCTGCATAACTCACCCATGGTCCCGTCTGACCTTGGGCTAGCGCCTGAGAGGCCCCTGTCTGTCCCTGTCCTCCAGGCCTGGACCCTCTCTAGGGGGCACTTGGGCCACAGAGAACTCAGGCACCAGGACTGGCCTGGAAACACACTCGCTGTGTAGCCTCCGGGAGCAAGCTGAATGCGGGTGGGCACCCCGGGCCAGGCTGCGGGCCCCGGGGCAGCAGGGGAAGCCGGGCCTTCCTGGGAGAGAAGCAAAGGCTCTGCTGGGGTGCAGGGCCCGGGTCTCCCCAGCGCAGAGCCCCGTTCCAGCTGCAAGCCTGGGTGTGGAGACAGTGAGGCGGGCTCCAGAGGAGGACACAGACCCGTTTCTTGGCGATATTCTAGCCTCCAGCCACACCTTGGAGCCTTCTCGGCCACAACCCTCTCCAACTGAGAAGGTGTGTATGTGAAAGAAGCTTGAGCTCTCAAACTTTCTTGCCCACACCCAGGAGTGGTGTCCTGCTCTGGGCGGGTGTGTGGTCTGCATTTAGCCCTGGGCACAAACACCAGAAGGCAGGTTCAAAATCGGGCTGTGGCATCAAGGATGAAAATAGCTCACAGGAACAGGCGACGAGGCAAACGCTCAAGCAGCCAGAATGCCTGGGGGGGCTGGCCCCCTTGGGAGAAGCCACCTCCAGCTGCCCCGGCCCAGAACCAGGGAGTAAGGCTGCCCCAAAGGGCAGGTGCCTCGTTTCAGCCCCCTCTCCCTGGGCCAGGGCTCCTGCCCCAAGGAATCCTGGGACCTCCTGCCTTTCAAGGCCAGCTCTCCAAAGGTGAGAATTCTTGGTGGGTGGACAGAAGAATAACAAAAGGAGTCAGTCACTCGGGAACCTGGGTGGCTCAGTCGTTAAGCGTCTGCCTCTGGCTCTGGTCATGATCCCAGGGTCCTGGGATCGAGCCCCTCATCGGGCTCCCTGCTCGGTGAGAAGCCTGCTTCTCCCTCTCCCACTCCCCCTGCTTGTGTTCCCTCTTTCACTGTCTCTCTCTCTCTCTGTCAAATAAATAAATAAAATTTAAAAAAAAAAGAAAAGAAAAAGGAGTCATTCATTCAACAAATATTTATTCAGCACCTACTACGTGCCAGGCACTGTCCCAGGAACCTGGAAAAAGAGGGGTTGGGGTAGCCTGGATCTGCCCCAGCTCTGGCTTTCTCTCCCAGAAACAAGGCCTGCAGGGGGACAGGGTCTGAGGGGCACTTGAAGGGGTCTGGGAGCCTCCTCCTCGAGAGGCGGAAGGCCAAGTATATGGAAGGTGGAGGCCTCCAGGAATGAGAAGACTGGGGAGGTGGCGGACTCCAAGGCGCCTTTCGTGGGGCAAGATGGGGGCGCAGAGAAGCAAGCTTCCCAGGAGCTGAGATGCCCTCCAGAGATCACCTCCTCTTCAGCACGGATATGCAGGACTTCTTGAGGGGCCCGATCTGCAGATGGGCGTCCACACTCTCCAGGAAGAAGGCAGGCTTGAGCCTGCGAGTGAAGAGTCCCGCAAAATGGCTGTCCAGGCGGCTCTGGAAGGGTTCGATGGAAGAGGCCAGGGTGCTGCTTCGGCGGGCCCGGGAGGCCTTCAACCTCCGAAGAAGGCTCATCTTGCCGTCCCGCACGGCATAGAAGGCCAGGGCTCGGTTGGCATACTCTAGGCAGATCCCGACGGTGGGCGAGAAGGGGTGGGGCAGGGGCGCCTCGAGCCCGTGGAACCAGATGGAGAAGCTCCGTCCGTTCCACTGCAGGCAGCAGGAGTGGGCGTTGCGGCCCAGACGGCCCCGGTCATAGGGCTCTTGTGGGGAGAAGTCTTCGGCCATGACCCCCACGCTGACCCAGCCCTCGATGATTTCCACCTCCCAGTAGTAGGTGCCCCGGTCCAGGGCGCCCTCGCCCAGCACCTGCTCGCAGTGGGTGAAGCGGGTGGGTGACTCGGGGTAGTTGATGGGACACAGCACCCTCTTTACACCTTTGGTCCCAAACAGCTGCAAGTACTTGTCTGCCGTGTCGCTGTCCAGGTCCACGATGTAGGCAACTGCTCCCGCGGATGGGAGAGAGACAGGGGGCTCAGGGCCAGGCGCAGGTGGGACAGCCCCTCCCCGCGGGGCCCACCGCCCCAAACGCAGCCTCTCCCCTCCTTAGCGACCAGCACGACTCAGCCCCACTGGAGAGCACCCCGTGAGGTGACCCAGTTCATCCTAAGGATGACAGGGGGTGGGAATCTAAGCCTTTGTGTGCTAGGGTTCAGCCCAGCAGCCTTGGGAGGGCCCAGAGGGGAGAGCCCAGGTGGCCACTTACACTTGAGGAAGTAATCCCTGGGAGCCTCACTCTCGAGGTTGTTGGTGCTATCGGGGTCTTGGGACTCGGCATCAGCTGCAGAAGAGACAGCGGGGAGGGGTGCTCTCCAGCAGCCCGTGGCTGGGCAGTGGTGCAAGGTGCTCCTCCTCTGAACCTGTGACTGAAATCCCTCTCCTCCTCCCTCCCAGCCTGTACCCGGAGACAGGCACACACCCCTATATGGCACCCTGTCTTCACATGCAAGCCTGGTCCTTGGGTTCTGCCCCTGATCCACCTCCTCCCTGCTCAGCCCCTCTGAAGCTAGAGGGCAGGGCAGGGCAGGCCCCCTCGACGCCCTAGGCTGTGGCCGAAGAGGCTGGATGGGTCATTACTGAGTGGTGTGGCTCCCATCATTGGTAGGAGTTGGGTCCCACCCTGCGCCAAGCCCGCATCTTCTGCCCCTGAATGGGTACCAGGCCGGGGGCCCGTGTGGGGAGACTGGGGAAGGGTGAGTCACTTGGGGGGGGCACCCACCTTCCGTGCCCAACTTCTGCAGGTCCTCCTCCTCCTCGCTGCCTGGCCCCTGCAGCCGCTCCCACTGGCTGGCACAGGCCTCGGTCAGTGCCTCTCTCACAGCCCGCACAGCTTGGGAGGACTTGGTGAAGCTGAGCTCCCTCGGGGGACCGGGCCCAGGGCCGCACCCCTCCTCCAGGGCCAGCCTCAGTGCCAGCAACCCCTGTGCCAGATAAAGGACTTTTAAGGCCTTGCTGGCTTCAGCTCCTCGGGCTGGGGGAGATAGCGCTGCCAGGAGGATGGCACAGCCCCGGGGGCCAGGCACCCGCTGCCCTCTCTCCACACCTCGCCTGTTCCCCCTCTGCGCCCTCTCTGGCCCTAAGAGCGGCGCTTACCTGCAGGAAGCTGACGGAGTCGGCCTCAGGGACCTGACCTAGGTTGTGGCGGGCCCGGCTTAGCCTACTGCGCTGTTCCTCCTGCCGCCGCAGGTCACCCTGGGAGCGGCCCAGCATGGTGGCCTCCCCCTCCTCGATGAAGCCCAGCACCTCTGTCTGGAACCCCTGCAGGATGGCTGCAGCCTCGGTGAAGAGCCGGCTCACCCTCTCCCGCTCTGCCAAGGCTGCGCTCTGCACAGGACGACGCAGGGGACAAGGGTGAGGGCCAGAACAGCATTATGCTGGCCCCATTCTTTTGAGACCCCACCTTCCCACCCTGCCCTCTTGCAGGGACAGAGGGACCAGGCCGAGGAGTCCTGGACCCATGCCAGGTCAGGGGAGCCGCTCATGCTGGGCCGGGGGGGCAGGCGGTGCCCGGAGCACAGGCTTCTTTGGAGTGGACCAGAGCATGCTCCAAGCTCCCATTGCCAGGAGCCTGCTGCCGGACGGCACGGGGATGGGGTTAGCACGGGGTCCGACCTTGATGAGGGCCACTGTGCGCCGGGACTGTGCAATGCCAGCGCCCAGCTCGTCCATGCGGTCCTCCACGGCACTCAGGACTTTGGACTGCTCCGCCTGTGGGTGACACTGTTAATTAGCATGGGGCCCGGCAGAGGCCACCGTCCTACACTGGGCTACCAGGCCTCAGCAAGGGGGAGAAGATGGATGACCTGGGGGTGGTATCTGTGCGTAGGTGGGACTGGGAGTGGCCGTGATGTCCCATAATATGCCGGGGGTGCCTCAAGCCCAGGCGGGTGCCATTCCCAAATGCCTGGGGCAGGGGGTGGGGGAAGGCTGACTGGCTTGTGGGTTGTCCGCCTCCCCTCTCTGACCAGTGGGCAAGTACAGACGCATCGATGCTCCTCAATGTCGCTCACGCTCACTGGAGAGCTTCCTTCAGTGAGGCAGAGGCAGAGAGGGTGGGGTAGGTGCTGCTCAGAGGGCATTCAGCTGTCTCGGGGATCCCTGTCCCCAAAGAGTCTGTGTCCCCAATCCAGGCCTGAAAAATGGGGATTCCGGGCAAGTCCCCTGGGTCTTGTGAGTCACTGCTCCAGGCAGGAGAGACGGAAAATCCCAAGGCCAGAGGCGCCAAGACCGGGCTGGAGGCCAGAGGAAACTGGGGGCGGAGGTAGCTGACGGGCTGCGAGCACATATGTGCTCCCACCACAGGCCCCCGGAACAGCTGGACAAGAGCCGTCTGTAGGCTCGGTCCACCCTCTGCCACACTCCTGTCGCCTGCCACACCCATCTCAAGCCGATGCCTCAGCCCAGGCCCCCTCTGAGCTGGAACCGGCAAGAACCCGGCCCGGCCCAACAGCCGCGCTGTCAGGATCAGCCCGTCCAAGAGCCCGCGGGCCTGACTCTGCTCCCCTTGCCTTAGACGCCCATCGGCCGGGACCCCGGCTTCAGGCCTCCTGCCTGCCCTTCCAGTCCTTTCCGCGTTCTCTCTGGGCCCCTCCAACCCCCATTCCCTTCTCGAGCAGAACGTCCCACAGCGAGGGGATGGATGACATTGTCAGTATTGGAAAGGACAGCAAAGAGCCTCAGGTTAGAGGACATTAGGACCCTACCAGGAAGAGGGGTGGGGGCGGGGATCCCTGGCCCTCGGAGGGCCCGCGCGGCCCTCACCCGCCCCGGCGCGCCCCCGGTGCCCGCGCCCACCTCCTGGAGCGCGCGCTCCTGCTCCAGCGGCACGAGCTCGTGGCCCCGGTGCTCCTGGGCGGCGCAGGCCTCGCACAGGCACACGCGCTCGGCACGGCAGTAGTGCTCGAGCGGCCGCAGGTGGCGCGGGCACAGGCTCTCCTCCAGCCGGCGCAGCGGCGGCACTAGGCGGTGTCCGCGCAGCGCGGGGCTGCGCTCATGCGGGCCCAAGTGCGCGGGGCAGAAGGAGGCGAGGCAGGAGAGGCAGGAGAGCGCGGCGGGCAGGGCGGCGCCCTCGGGGCACGCGTCGCAGCGCACCGGCTCTTCGCCGCCCGGCCAGGGCTCGGGCGCGCAGGGAGCCGAAGGCTCGGGGGCGCTGGGCTGCGCGCTGGGCGGTGCGCTGGGCGGCGTGGGCTCCGGGGCCGGCGCTGGGGCCGGGCCCGGGCCGGGCCCGGGCGCGGAGCCCGAGCCCTGGCGGAGCTGCAGCAGCTCGGACAGCGTGTGGTTCTTGCGGAGCTGCAGGCCGTCAGGGAAGGGCTCCTGGCACAGCGGGCAGCGGGCCGCGCCTCCGGGCCCGCCGGTGCCACCCGCGCCGCGGTGCGGCCACAGCGCGCTCAGGCAGACCAGGCAGAAGTTGTGGCCGCAGGGCAGCGTCACCGGCTCCCGGAGCGGCTCCAGGCAGATGGGGCAGCTGAAGGGCCCGCTGCCGTCCATAGCTCCGCGGCCGCCCGGGCACCGCCTGTTCTGCTCCCGCCCTGGGAGGGACCCGGCCCGCTCGCGCTGCGGCGCCGCCCCCTGGGACCGAGGCCAAGGGTCCAGCCCCCTTCCGTCCCCGGCTCGGACTGCCCCCTCCCCCCCCCCTCCAAGCGCCGCAGACCGGCCTGCGGGTCCCGGTATACCCGGCGCCGGCCCAGGCTGCGCGGCCGACCCGAGGGGCTCCTGGACGACCGTCCCTCCTGGTCCAAGGGGAGGGCGGAGGGCAGAGGGTACGAGGGGGCACACTGGAAGGAAGCTGGGAAGGAGTTCACCCCTCCACTCCCCTCAACTCCCCCCATAGCCAGGCCACGGACTCCAGAGGGGCCGGGCGTTCCCACCCGTTCCCACCGGGCCACGCCAGCCCCTCCGCGCTCCAGACCCCTCCGAGGCACTTGTTAGCAAAGTTTCCGTGCTGCTTGCAGAGAAATTTAACTGCGGATGTGCGCGTGTTTTTGCCCCTTAGAGACTCTATTTACCCCTTGTGGGGAACTTGGGGTCACCCTCCAAGTACCTTGTCTGAGGGAATTCAGTTCCCCTCCACGGATTCCCACCCCCATCCCCAGGCACTTGCGGTGTACCTGGGGCTAGGGGTGTGGGTTCCCCAAATGGAGGCATTTAAGGCTCATCCAGACATGCACTTAATAATATTGTTTAAAAACAATAAAATGGCGGGGCGCCTGGGTGGCTCAGTCGGTAAATCGTCTGCCTTCGGCTCAGGTCATGATCCCAGGGTTTTGGGATCGAGCCCCCGAATAGGGTTCCCTCCCCGCCCCCTCCCCGCCCCCTCCCGCTAGGTGGGAGTGGGCTTCTCCCTCTCCCTCTATCCCTCTATCCCTCCCCTCTGCTCGTGCTTGTGCGCAGTCGCTGGCTCTCTCTCTCTCTCTCTCTCTCTCTCTCTCTCTCTCGTGTTCTCTCTCAAATAAATAAATAAAATCTTTTAAAAAATAAATAAAATGGCAACAAAATAAAGTAGCATTGACTTATAACCCAAAGTATAAAATAAACATCCATGAGTGCATACTGATATAAATAAATGACTGGGGGGCGCCTGGGGGGCTCAGTTGGTTAAGCGACTGCCTTCGGCTCAGGTCATGATCCTGGAGTCCCGGGATCGAGTCCCACATCGGGCTCCTTGCTCAGCAGGGAGTCTGCTTCTCCCTCTGACCCTCCCCCCTCTCATGCTCTCTCTATCTCATTCTCTCTCAAATAAATAAAATCTTTAAAAAAAAATAAATGGGAAAATAAATGAAGAAGCATAGGCATATTTCCCATTGAGAAGAATGCAGAATAGTTGTTGTAGATACTCCGAGATGGAGCCTGGTTTTCTACTCCTTTAATGTGGGCTGTGCATAGTGACTTTCTTCCGAAGGGAGCAAAAAAGTCACTTTACGGTGGTGAAGCCTGGCAAGTTTGACCCCAGCTGGGTGATCAAGGTCATGTTGACAGTAAGTACCTGGGATGATATGGTCTTCCTCCCCCAAACCCATAACCCAATCTAATCATGATCAAAACACCACACAGGGGCGCCTGGGTGGCTCAGTCGTTTGTTCCTCCGCCTTGGGCTTGGGTCATGATCCCTGGTATCGAGCCCGCATCAGGCTCCCTGCTCAGCTCAGTCGGCTTCTCCCTGGGCCTGCTGTTCTCCCTACTTGGATCTCTCTCTGACAAATAAATAAAAAAATCTTAACAAAAATAAAAATATAACATCACAAACCTCAGTGGACGGACAGTCTACAGAATACCTGACTAATACTTTTCAAAACCTTCAAGATTATCAAAAAAAGGGACCAAAAAAAAAAAAAAAGTGGGGAGGGGCGGTCAGTCTGAGAAACTGTCCCAGCCATGAGTAGCCTCAGGAGATGTGATGTGTAAATGTTGTGTGTATTCTGGGTGTACTCCTGAGAGAGAAAACGGTTGTTAGGGGAAAACTAGGGAGATTTGAATAAATTACGGACTATAGTTAATAAAATGTGTCAATATTGGCTCTTAATTGTTTTTTTTAATAATTTTTAAGAAGATTTTATTTATTTATTTGACAGAGAGAGACACAGCGAGAGCAGGAACACAAACAGGGGGAGTGGGAGAGGGAGAAGCAGGCTCCGCACGGAGCAGAGAGCCTGATGTGGGGCTCGATCCCAGGACCCTGGGATCATGACCTGAGCCAAGGCAGACGCTTAACGACTGAGCCACCCAGGCGCCCCATATTGTCTCTTAATTGTGACAAATGCACCAAAATCATGTAAGCTGTTAACAAAAGGGGGAATTAGGAGTGAGGTATCTGGGAACTCTGAGTTATCTTTGCAACTTTTTTGTAGGTTTACAACTATTCTAAAAGTAAAAGTTCATTAAAAAATATAGAATAATTGAGACAATTCTTCCTTACCCTCCAAGCCTCCTGCTGACGAGAGTATAAAGAGGAAGGAATAAAAGGGTCGGGAGGGTTCCATCCAGAAGTGGGGCTTAACCTTTCTCATCACCAGGGCCCCTCTCGATGCCAGGTGCAGCCCTTTCCAAAGTAATGCTTTTAATTGTACAAAACAAAAGGCATAGGATTTCATGGAAACAGATTACATTGAAATACAGGTACAAAATAATTTAAAAAATAAATTTGTGATATCTGTGTTTCTTTAACACAATAAATAACAATATCTGATGGAGGCCTAGTAATGTATTTTTGAAATAGTGATGAACGTAAGTGATATTTCAGGTTCCGTGTCACCACATAATGTGCTATGGAACTATCTGTAATTTCTATTGGTGACAAGTCACAGAATTGCTAACTCCACTGTGGTGTGTTCTCTCCATTTGTAATAGAAAGAAATGTGAAATTTCAGTTTAGAGAAGAGTGAAACTACAAAGGATTTTCTCACCAAGACCCCCAGCTTAAGAATGTCTAATTTAGGAAGATGCTATGCAGAGCCTCCCTGCGTCTTTCCTGGAAGGAGAGAAGAAAATGAAGATCTATGAAATATTAAATGAGGGGTGCAATCCGGGAGGGACTCACGGGAAGAGGGGGCGATCGTAGAGGGCCTTGTGGAGGAAGTAGCATCTGAGCTGGCCTTTCGTGGGTTGCTAGGATGCAGGCGCACAGAAACTAGGGCGGGGAGAAGCTCTTCCAGCAGAGGAGTAGCATAGGGAACCAGGCTGGGTGTGCCCAGTTTGGCAGGAAGGCGAGTAATGAGTTCCATACGTTGGTTTCCACTGGGATCACTACTTGAGCATGACTATCTCTTGTTTGCCAAGACCCAGGAACAGTTCGGAGGCTCAGGCATCAGCACCACCCTGCTCCAAGGCCTGGCAGCCAGGTTGCCCGGGCTGGCTGAGACCACAGACCCGCCTGGTTCTGCAGGGGTGAGGGGTGCCACTTGGGTTGGGGCATGTTCATGGATAAGCGCCAGCCGGCCTTCTGCTTCCCAGCCCAGAGGCTGCTCAGGAAGATCGGCTTCCCTAGGAAAGCATAGAGATGTGATTTGTCAAGATGGTGGCGTTTTAATACTTCATTTCCATTATCGTAGCTTTAAGGCTGACCGACAGAGTAATTCTTTTTTGAAATGAATTGGCTCTTAAGGGGAAAAGGTAACTGGCACTTTTGAGGTCTGTAGGAGCATGTTCATGCCTGCATCTCACTCTGCCCTTGCAAGAACTATGTCATGAAGGATGAGAAATGGAATTCCGACAGGTTGCGTATCTTGCCAGAGGTCACACAACTCCTCCAGTGGAGGAGGCAGAATTTAAACGCAGAAAGTGCAACCTGAAAATAATCTTAAACCTCATATATGAACCTGTCTACAGGGCTGCAGTACTGCTTGAAAGGAAAAGAAAATGGTCAAACTGAAGCAAAACCAAGCAAAAGCCATCCAGCAAATGGGAGTAATGAGCAAGCCATTCCCAGCCTCGTTTGCATCTATGAAATTGAAATAGGACCAAGCCATGTCCCACGGTAGCACTGAATGGTTTCGATGTACATTTTTAAAAGTTTATTTATTTATTTTTTAGTGATCTCTACACCCAACGTGGGGATCGAACTCATGACCCCAAGATTTTTTTTTTTTTTTTATTTGACAGAGAGAGACATAGCGAGAGCAGGAACACAAGCAGGGGGAGTGGGAGAGGGAGAAGCAGGCTTCCCACAGAGCAGGGAGCCCGATGTGGGACTCGATCCCAGGACCCTGGGATCATGACCTGAGTCGAAGGCAGACGCTTAACGACTGAGCCACCCAGGCACCCTCATGACCCCAAGATTAAGAGTCGCATGCTCTTCCAGCTGAGCCAGCCGGGCACCCCGTTTTGATGTACTTTACAATTTTTGATTTGTATTCATTTCAAAATGATAGAGTTTAAAAAGTAATTTAATTTTTTAAATTTAAATTCAGTTAATTAACATATAGTGAGTGTATTACTAGTTTCAGAGGTAGAGTTCAGTGATTCATCAGTTGTATATAACACCCAGTGTTCATTACATCACGGGCCTCCTTAATGCCCATCACCCAGTTACCCCATCCCCCCACCAGCAACCCTCAGTTTGTTTCCTATGATTAAGAGTCTGTTATGGTTTGTCTCCCTCTCTGATTTCATCTTGTTCTATGTTTCCCTCCCTTCCCCTATGCTCCTGTGTTTTGTTTCTTAAATTCCACATGAATGAAATCATATTAATTCTTTCTCTGATTGAATTATTTCGCTTAGCATAATACCCTCTAGTTCCACCCATGTTGTTGCAAATGGCAAGATTTCATTTTCTTTTTTTTTTCTTTTTCTTTTTTTAAAGATTTTATTTTATTTTATTTATTTGAGAGAGAGAGAATGAGAGATAGAGAGCACGAGAGGGAAGAGGGTCAGAGGGAGAAGCAGACTCCCCGCCAAGCAGGGAGCCCGACGTGGGACTCGATCCCGGGACTCCAGGATTATGACCCGAGCTGAAGGCAGTCGCCCAACCAACTGAGCCACCCAGGCGCCCAAGATTTCATTTTCTTGATGGCCG